GCCTGGCGCCGAAAAACAAATGACGGCGGCGCCAGGCGGACCTTTTTATTTAAGCGGCATTTTAACTGTTAATATTATTGGATTTTATCTGGCCAGGGCGGCTTATTTTATATTGTATTTTTGTATTTTTAATTTAATGCTTATATTTTTTAATTTAAGATTATAATTATTTTAATTTATTGTTGTAAGCCGCCCCGAGGCTTCAGTGAATGGGGCGGCATAAAAATGTTTTAATAAATAATAAATAAAATAAAATAAAACATGTGGAATGTCTCCTAAAATATGAGGGTTTAGAACAAACACACAATTGGGCTGTGGTGCCCTTGTTGGAGAAAAGGAGCACCTTTCTCTGGGCTGATGTTCTTCCCCTGAGACTTCCCATTTGTACAACCTGAACTCAGCTAAGTCACAGACATATCTCTGTGTGTGTGTGTGTGTGTGTGTGTGTGTGAGAGAGAGAGAGAGAGAGAGAGAGAGAGAGAGAGAGAGAGAGAGAGAGAGAGAGAGAGAATGTGCTGCTGCTGTTAGAAGACTAGACAGTGCTAATAACATTCATATTTACCAAGAGGATGTTTTGCTACGGACCGCGTTGTTGCATATTTCAGGTTGGGATGTTCAATAAGGAAGATAGAGCAGGTTTCTGGAGCCAAAGCCGCCTGTAAAATATATTTCGTTATGCAAACATTAATGCTGAGCTTCTGTAAACATTTCTGCATTGCCTTCAACTGGCAGCTCCTCTGAAGCCATATCAAAGTAGGACATCTTTAGAAAATTGTACAAAGCTGTGTGTGTTGGTGCCTTTTCCCTCAGATCTGCTATTTGGGTTTTTCTTGAGGACTGCAGAGTTCAGCTATTTAAATAGAAAAGTGAATGTATTAAAAGTGTTGAATCCAAGCGATTACCATCCAGCTTTTTACTGGGTTTAAATAAAGTTAAATCTACAGAAGATTGACGTTTGTATAAATTGCTCTCCATGTCCTACCTTTTCCCCCTGGTTGCACATCTGTCTTATCAATGTTTAATTCAGAGTTGCACGACCTGTGTGTGATCGTTACAACAGGGCTGCAGACTTTCACTATCCTCTTCCATGTTAAGCAACCTGTTTTGTGATCCCAAATTGCAAAACGCACCCACAAAACGTCAGGGAATAAAGCTGCTTTGAGGAACAGGATAGCCCTTAATCGCGGTTTAGTTTCCTTGCCTACGACCTTGAATAGCCAAAGTTTACTTCAAACGCAAACTTTCACGGCTGGGCAGGGTGGCGCATGGGCAGACCCCAAGAGGGTGACGGGGCGGATTCTGACAGGACTGGTGCTAAGAACACAAGGTCCTGCTTGTCGTCGCAGTGGAAGTGGGCAGACACGGAAGGCCGAGAACCTGTGCTTACACTGTCAAGCCAAAGTCGTTTGCCGTTGGTTCTGCCCTTCCCTCCTCAGCCTATTTTTCTGGCAAGAAAAAGGATAGATGAGAAACTCTGGGAAAACTCGGAGGGCATTAAAAATAGAAGAAAGTGACGTCCAGATTCCCAGAGAACTACAGGGTGGAACTGCATGTTAAAAAGCACCTTAGTTTGGTGAAGGGGGCTGCCATAATGACCCACCTGGTTCTCTGTGGGGGGGGGGGGTTATGTGTGTGTGTGTGTGTCTACGCACGCACGCACATATGCATGCTAGGATGCAGTTCAAGCATGCACATGTATTCTTCTTTTAAAAGGTGATGACGACATTTGGTGGGGGGGGCGGGGTTGGTACCTAGCCCCAAATTCTGGCTGTTGTGCATGTGTTCAGATATGCCTAAGTATTGTTGGCAGTAGCCAGGAAAACAAACCCATCTCATTCTGGTCAGACTGGTTTTTAAAAAGACTTATCATACGGATGCCCTGTGTTTCTAGCACATGAGCAACTGACAAATGCTGCTATTTATTGCCTTCTAATTAATGCACGGCAGTCGAAAGCAGTTAGTCAGTAGTTTAGCAAAATAAAACGTGCTTCCAATTCTTTTCTGGTCAGCTGGCCATGCTGCAACCTGCGCCCCTCCCACACCCTTGGAATGGCACAAACGTGTCCTGCACAGAGGCGAAAAGGAAGCGCTAGAGGGCCAAACGGTTGGGGGGCAGACCTCTGGCCCAGCTGGGGTCACAAGCTGAGCCTCTGGGGGCCCCAAAACGGCCATGCCCCCTCCCCTGGCTTCGCTCCCTTTCCCCACCAGTGACCTGCTGATTTCCCAATTTTTCACTGGATTTCCCTCCACTTTTCTGAAAGGTTCAGGTGCCCCTTACGGGAAATAGGAACGTTCCGCTAAACTGTGTGGGTATATTTGAAATTTCAGGCCTGTCTTGCTTTGCCCATGACTGACTGTGCCCCTGGCCTGCCATCCACCAGGAAGCCTCTTCAGAGTTGGACTGAGCAATCCGGCTGAACGGCGCTCAGCACCCCTGTTATAGGGCACACAGAAATCGGATTCCTTCCCGCCCCATCTGAGAATTCCTTGCTGATTCTGTAAGGGTCCCTCTTCACTGCTGGGATGCACGGGGGACCCAAATGTTTTACCTTAATATAATGACACATCTGAAGGGCAAAATCGTCCCGGGAGTTTTCCAGTATGAGGGTGCCACCCATGTTAGCCGTTGTGTTGTGCAGATCGAAAATGAGGTCGTAGGCATCACGGCTCCCTTTCGGGCCAAATATGCGGTTGAGCTCTTGCGCCCGCCTGACTTCGTAGGGAGCGTTGTCTGCACACCGCCGACTGTCCAGGAGAAAACAGACAAGACCCCCCAACGCTCTCCATGAGCCATTTTGTGCTTTAAACAGGTTTACTTCTCATTCCCCTTCCCCCCGCCCAACAAGCAGACCGCCTTGGTGAGGAGGACCCAGGTAAAGACCTTTTTATTTAAACATCATTTTAATTGTTAAAACATATGATCTGGCCAGGGCAACTTCTTCTTCCTTCTCTTTCTCCTCCTATATTTTTATTTACTTAATTTATACTGATAATTTTAATCTTATATTTGTAAATCAATGTATTTTTTGTATTTTTGTATTTAATGGTAATTTATTATGTGCTATTGTATTTCAATGTATTTTATCGTGTTGTAAGCTGCCCCGAGGTTTTGGCAAGGGGCGGCGTAGAAATGTTAATAATAATAATAATAATAATAATAATAATAATAATCCCAGGTATCTTTGCTCAGCAGTGCCTGGTGGACCCTCGCAGGTGCCCTGCCACACCTGTGCCAGCTATGAGAACCAGCTGGGAAGCAACCTTGGCGTGTACAGCGGAACCTCTCTGCCAAAGTCCACCCTTACAGTTGATCAGCAGCTAGTTCTACTTGTTTCTAGAGAATGAGTAATCCTCCAAAAATTGCACAGGGGTGTGAATGCTGGTGCTTCTCCCTCCCTCGGGCGACTCGTTTCAAAATTCAAAAATTATCTGGCAACTTCACGTCTCTTCATGTCACCCCTTACATTGTTTATAAAGCAAATTCTGATGTGGCCATAAGACATATTACCTTTCAAAATCCTCCTTCACGCCACAGAGATGCCGTCTATGTTTAAATAGATGTGTATTTTTACTTTTGGTGATGGGCTCTGCCAGCGCAGGGACATGAAAGGGAGTGCCACAAAGCTAAATTGCTCAGGAAGTTCAGCCGGGGACACATGGGGAGAAATGAGCTGGGAGCGCAGACGAATCACAGCAGTTTGACACACACGATGCCTCCAGCCCTAATTCGCATTAAATTTTCATACTGGCCGCTTGCTTCATATAAATTAGGATTGCTAAAAGAGCAATGTGAACTAAAGTTCGTGGGGGTTTTTTTAGCTTCGTTGCTTTCTGTCCACAAGACGTGGTGGTAGAGTTGTAACAGGGAGCGAAACTTCACCTGGAAATCCAGTAATAGGGTCCTGTTCCACGAGGGTAAATTAGGCACAGTACCTCTGTGGGTTACAGGAGCCCTGACATTCCTACTGTTCCCCAGATCTGTAGGAATTTATAGGATTTTCTGGATAAAAATGCACCAGGATGAAAGGTATTTTTAGATGAAGCCCTGTCCTCGCTCAGTTTTTCACAGGGGACCCAAGACATTACCCTCCCATGTTTGTCAACACTTTCTTCATATGGGGGACACACACACACAGAGGTTGGCTTACCCTAGACTTTCAGCATCAAACACTCGGTTCAGGTCACAGTCAATGTATCTGCAACACTGCTCTACAGCTCTTGGATTTGCAATGAAAGGTGTCACTTCCAGCCCTGGTCTCTGGATCTCCGTTCTGTTCTTCTGCCAGTATTTGACCAGAAATACCCCTGACAGCTCATTGCCGTGCGTTCCTCCAAAGAGAGCGACTCTTCGTACAGGAGCTACTGGTACAACCTGGCAAGAAGTCATTCTGTGAAGTAACTTCAGGCACTTGCTGCAACGGACCAAAAGAGAAAGGGATTAGACAAGACGTCTGCAAGCGAAGCAAAGTAAAAGTTTCCAATTGCTTTTCAGTTCCTAGAGTCTGTCTGGATTGGATGGTAACAGGGAAATAAACATTTCCTAGTAAGTCTTAATGCTGTTCTGCTACTTGGGTGTTCCTTATTCAACTCTCCTCCCTTCCCAAGACCAGCCCCTTTTCTTTACTATATTTGGGTAATAATATCTAGGAATACAGTTCAGGACACGTTCGTGTGACCAGGATCTATGGCCACAGGAGGTTTCCTTGCCTAGAATGAGCAGCGGGGAAAGAAGGGGTCTTTTTAAGGCAATATCTGACAACAAAAAACAGCAGGGTCAGTCATGATGGTTATAATTTAGAGATCCTTCCTTACAGAGAAGTCAGAGAGGGGAGTTTAGAAAGCATTTCCAGGGTAAGAGAGTGAAAAGGTTCCAGCAGAAGTTTTTCTTAGATATATCTGTTTGTCAACCAATTATTAAATTAGCTTGTGGTTCAAAGACTTGCGGGGAAAAAGCAGTGACTTCTCCAGGTCCCCCACCTTCTCTGAACAGCAAGGTTTCCTCCATGGGGCAGGCCCCACTCATGAAGCGACCTGCAGGTCAGATATGCAAATTCTGCAGGCTAGATTCTGCAAGGGCCAGGGGTTCTATACCCCTCCACGATTATTTATTTTGGAACTGCTGCTGGGAATCCTGCAGGTCATTTACCTTCCCCCTTTTTCTCTGCAGCCCAGTGCTCTTCACAACACTGTCTGCTGGATATTTTTGCTCGACTGAAATGTTTGCCAGATTGGGTGGGGCGAGGGAGAAAGACACGAATAAAAAGCAGATGGAGTGAACAATTTTGATAGGCTCGGAGCAGCACCAGAGGGGAGGGAAAGGGGCATTTCAGGGCGTCTTAGCCCAGGCACCCCAAAACCTGGAGCCATCGCTCCCTTGTGCAAATATATAATCTGGACTGCAGTTTCTAGCTGCAAAGCAAAACCCAGCTCCGGGGAAAACACAGCAGGTCTCCAGACCCCACTGTAACCTCACAGACCGTCCCAAAGCACTCTCTGCGCTGTCCTTTAACCTCCTTTTCCCAAGGCTGCTGTGGGAGAGTCACAACTGCTGGGAAGAGCTGAGTAGAGCATTGTGTCTGGGTCCTGCCCCTACTGGCAAGAGCAACAAGTGTGCAAGGTGCATCCTACACACACAAGTCTTGCCTGTGGTCCCGAACATCTCACAGAGATACAAAACAATCGCCGTACTTCCAGCGTTTTGCAAAGGACCAGCCGGTGTAAAGGGGGGCTTGCCTCCCGCAGCGACTAAAAAGAACAGCAACTTCCGCCTGGGCAAAGCTGGTGCTTATAGAAGTTATTTTATTTAAGGTTTTTGCATGCCATCCCAATTACTAAAAAAGTCTCTGTTTTAGGGTTACGAAACTCAAGCGCTCAGCTAAGAGTGGCAAATGATATCCTACCTCCTCTGGTAATCTATTCATGCTATAAACTTTACCCTGCAGCCCAGGAATGTGGAATTAGTGAACCTATCCGGGTATTGACCTGGATAGATGCAGCGTATGCTAATTATTATATTGCTCTGCTGCCTGGAAACTCTCCTGCCCCCAGTTTGTAGGAAAATAACTCCAGTAGATAATTTATTAAGTAAGGCAGAGTAGTTATATTTTATACCAAAGCATTGTTGGCACCGTCCTTTGACCTCATTTCTCAAGGCTATTAATTAACGAGCAGCCAGTGCGGCTGAATCAGAATTGTTGGGAAGAGCCGAAAGAGCTCAGCGCTTTGGGAAAGGAGGCAACTAATTGTATGGGTCCGTGGTGCTCGTATGGGGCCCATAAGTACCTCTCTGTAAATGTCGGAAATTCCTTCCCCAAAGCTGGACAAATGGCAATTCTTTTGATGGACTTACCTCATTCAACATGCAGGAGGTTTGTCTCTGGGAAAAAACAACGCTCAGAGAACAAACACGCTGCATTTCTAAACACAGTTGGGGACTAAAGCTTGGCAAGGTCGTTATTTTCCAGAGTGGGATGACTTGGTCCAAAGAATGTTTAACTCCCAGTGTCCCAACAGGGCCTGTAGGGAAAAAGAGAGAAAAAGAGAAATTAAAGGGCTTGGAGTTGGCTACAGATTTGGTAAAAAGCACTAAATTGAGGAATTAAGAAAGCCGCCCGATTTACATGGCAAACACTTTCTGCAATGCAAAACTAAGTAGTATTAAATAATGTCAGTTTCACATGTGTGCAGTCACAAATTTGGCTGATGGGAGTTGTTGGCCAAATCGTCAGAAGAGGTCCACTTTTGCTTTGCAGTTATGGGAGGGCAGGTCTCTGCCCCAGTGAGCTTCCAATCTAAAAAATATTGTTCTCCTTATTGGGATAATGTTTCTTTTCTCTGCCTACACATGTATAGGATTATAGGATCCCCCCTCAAACAGATGTAGGGTTTTAGGATGCCCCTGAGTTGCTAAATATTTGAGGTGGGACTGAGGCCTTAAGGTGGCCAACACCGTGCAGAGAGCTTGTCTAATTGCATAGAAATGCCTCAGATAAATAAAATTCTGTACCCTTTTCCCTGAGCAGGGCTTAGAGCTGAGCAGATTTGCACCTGCTGATAATAAATTTTAAAAATCATAATATTCAATTTGCAGGACCGAGGCCTTTGCAGGTGCCAGTGTATGTGTGTTGGTTTAATCTCTGTATTTATTTATTTTCTATGCCACCCTCTAGGCAGCTCACAGCACCAAGATTAAAAACAACAATAAAAGATACATCGTATTAAAACATCATAAAGTGTTTGCTCAAAAATAACACCCCCTGAGGGCAGTGAGGATATTCCTAGGGAAGAATGTGCAGGATTGCAAAGTTTATAGCAGGAAAAGGGGGTATAATAACTTGAGTACATATGCTCTTATTGCAATAATAATTATTGTTATTATTATTATTTCAGAGGGGGAAAACCCCCTCAGAAGTGGCATTTATGGACAAGGGCAAACCCTGTTGGGAAATAAGCCGCTCATAAATTATTTTTATTACTATTTTTACGACTAAGTGATTGTGCTTAATATTTGAATCACTGGGAGCTTTCCGGAATCCAAGTTATCCGCGGCTACAACACAGGGGAGAAACCGCGAAGAGCCCGGTGGTAAAACTCTGAGGTGGTCATTTCCTCTCGGTGGGCCGACAGAGTGCAAAATTAGCCAAATAATTAGAAATCCCCCTCGTGGCTCCTCTCCGCCAACTTGGCTAGTCCGAAACAGAAGAGAATGATTTATAATGTTCCGCCTATAAAAATAATGATCTTTTTGAGATAGGCGGCCATCTTCTCCCCTCAGGGATGGAGGGCGCTTCCTGCCAATAAAAATGGAGGAGGCAGAAGCGGGTCCATTTGGCCTTAATGGCCTTTGCTTTCACACTTGCTCCTCCATCGGAGCCTCCTTCTCCCAACTTTCTCCTCAAGTCCCTCCGCTCTGCTGGCCTTTTTAAAGAGCTTCTGAAGCCAAAAGGATGGCTAATTTCTCCCTGAAGTAATGAAAAAAAAAAAAATGGGGGGAAGACACTGCTGTCCCTCAGGGCCTGTTTCCCTCAGGGTAGACATCAAAAGCGGCCATTTGCTCCCTTCTCCTTGCTTTGATTCCCCTCACGCCAAGGCACACGGCCCTCCCCGCCAGTTTCTCCATCTCCTCATGGCTCCATTTTCCGTAATTTTTCATAATTAACGTGACACTGACAAGATGTGGCCATAGATTCAGGCCCTTTCCCTCCACTCCTGTGTTTGGGTTTTTCAATGCATTTCAACCCATTTTCAGTCAATTCAGCAACTTCTGTTTCTAAATATACTTATGGATGACAACGGTCTCACAAGCCATGTCCCCATTGCATCCCTACAAACAGGGATATATATATATATATATATGTATTTATTTAGAATATTTTTATCCCATCCTATACAATCCAATTGTCTCAGGATGGCCTACATTATAAACAAACAAACAATAAATAAAGCCTTTGTTTGTTTGTTTGTTTGTTTGTTAATTAAAAGCTTTTATAGGCTGTGCACTACGTATTATTGTTATGGGTATATATATGTTTTCATTTTATTTCGTCTTGTAATCCACCTAGAGAGTTCAATTGTAAGCCATCCCAAGACATTCTGTAGGGGACGAGATAGAAAAGCGTTAAATAGATAGATAGATAGATAGATAGATAGATAGATAGATAGATAGATA